TAACCTTTTTAGAAGCATTTTTGTACTCATTTTTCACAGAATATGTGCACGTATGTCTCAACAAAACAAAGAAAAGAAACACTTTGCCGCATGTCTCGGTCGTCACCTCAGAAGTGTGTGGCGACAAGCTGCGATGTGTCCGTCTCCCGTCTCTGTAGCCTGCCTCGGTCGCTTGTCTCTGTCGCGTGCAGCCAAATTGTACCTTTACACAATGAGGAGTTTTAAAATTTGCAGCTATTCTCCGCGAAATATTTACGGAATTTTGAAATCAAATATAGTACTTGCGCGGGCGATAAAAAAATGCGTATACAATTTTAACCGGAAATCCTAAGGGGACAATTATGGTGATCCTAACAGTTGAACATATCGAAAACAAATGAAACGTGAAGACGAGAACTTAATTCATCTGTCCCAAGACAGAGTCCAGCAAGGAATCTTCGGTGAAATTGTTTTTAACCAGTTGAGCGACTGCCAGCTCCTCAAGAAGGCCTCAGTTTCACGGGAGTTGGCAAAGTGGCGCCTCTACACAGTGCCACGTCAACCAACCAACTAAAGACAGGAAGAGTCTTCCAGACGTCGTCCCTTGCCCGGTTAGACCATCCCCGCGTACGAAACGCGTTGCTGTGGAACTGATCCGCTACTTAAGACTCTAGCTGAAGTCAAAGGCTCTGGCTGACGACGGCCATGACATGTTCAGACCACGACCTACTGCTACTGGTGGGATGATCCACTCGGGCGATTTTTCCTTTGCGGAAAAGATCTCGCTTGTATGGATGTCTGGGAGTTGAACGCAGTGAAGGTCTCGGTGACTTGGAGGTGGATAACATGCAGATCTACGATACCCTTAGATAGAAACTATAAGTGACTTTACCCCAGCTAACAGAGACGACATTTCTCATTGTATAGGAGGGACTTTGTGTGACAAATGAAGATGAAGAGGCGTGGTAAAGATAATCCCTGTTGAGAAGAGAGATCCGGCTGTGATAACCTTGGATCAAGAGAGACGTGCTGATCGACCGTCGCAGATCGACTACAGGAATCGATCGGTACATCGATTAATGCGCGTTATGCGACCCGCAGTTTATGAACCATCTTCCTACAAGAAGTGCTCCAGATGCGTCTTGGAGATGTGATATTTCAAAACGAAAACAAACTTGTAAGCCTTCGTCAATGGCGTTAGTGTTAAACAAATAACGAATGTGATAATATTTAGGGTGGAATGTGGCTGGCGGAAGAGAGGGGCGTGACAACGCAGGTGTAGAGTTTAACCACTGCCATGTTTTAGTAACACAACAGCGAGTTGTATACAAATGGTTCAAAAGAGAAATTTCATGAATAGAAAATGTTTATTCTGTTAAACTTACTTAACCTAAGAGATACTGTGGTTGTACTGGCTCACTAATTATAGCACCTTTTATAACAGTGTATCCACTGACGTTTTATAACAATTATTTCACGTCATAAAACATTGTACCTACCTGCTATAAGCTGAAATGACATCACTCAATGGACATCAGCAGGCGATATTCAATTACTGATGGGAGTAGAAATTGTGAGGTACATGTGACGGATTATACCGTTCATTTAGCGTGTTTCAGCTGCAGTAGAAGGGTACGCATTAGCAATGCACATCACCGCTGTATAAAGGCGTAATTATAATTGCAGTTGGCGTAAACTCCACCACGTATTTTGAACCTCGACGTTAGTTTCAAGACAGTGGTGAGCTTTACCCCCCGCCCTCCTCGGGAACCATTTGATAGATTACGTTGGCTGGACCTCAAACCTCACCTGGACGTGGCAAAACTCATGCAAAATGAAGGGATATTTAATTTTATAAATGCATTAACGCGAAGATGCCTTAACTAAAAGTTAGTATCAGTACTGTTGTTTTTTGTGGGCTTTAATCATTGCTCATAATACTAAGAAACAAGATAACACGTTTCGGAGGCTGTTTCTGATATCGTCTTCAGGTGACAATTCATATTCTGTCGCGGCCAATTAAAGGGGATAGGGGCGAGCCAGTTTCCGAAACGTCGGAAGGCCTACCTTCCAAGGTAAGCCTCAAACCTCTGAGAGAGTCCACACACGTACAGACTTTGTGGCAGGTTTGTGCTCAGTGTTTTTATTCTTGAGTCGATGCTACAAATATGTTCAGTGAAGACGATGCTATTTTAATCGGTCTTGCTGTTACTTTAATGTTGAAAAATAAAAGAAAGTTGAAACGTTCTAAGTGGGTCAGAAGTTGGTTAGACGGATCAAAACATTCTCACGTAAATTTGTTGAATGAAATTCTATTAGAGCCGACTGACTGGCGTAAATACCTGAGAATGGATGAGGACACGTATTTGGAACTGTTAAACTTAGTTAAACTACGAGGATTTGAAGTTCTCGGTGGCTACAAGCCCTGCCTTTACCATCGTCTCTGCCCACTCACGTTACGACTTGTAAACATTCAGTAAACCTCGAGGCAAAAATATCAAGCGATTGCAGATTTATCGGAGGCTCGGTTTCCGGCCAAATTCACCACACACGCTCAGGTTTGCCTTCAGAGACGTAGGCCTTCCGGTAAGCGTGTGTGTGGCCATATAGAGTCATACTGAACGTCAGTGGCCTACTAGAGGTCTAAACAATATTATTCCTCGTAACTGAAGCAGCAAGGGGGTTCGCTTTGTGGCCCAGGAGACAGAAACGGAAACTTGAACTCACTGTTGAAGTCGCCAGAGCATACTTTGCAGCAGCGTCCAGGGTGCAGCACTGGTTCGTCGCAGCTCGGCTTCGGACATTCGTTCTTGATGTTTCGGCAGTGCACCCTGGCGACAACGCGCCGTTTCTTCTGAATCTGCAACGAGACATCACAAAACCAATATGAAGCAGACCTAATTTACTGGGTGCCCTAATGCTGTAGATAGGTGCAATCGGCACGGCCTGGTAGCATGACAGCTGTTTCCAGAAACTGCACACTGCGTTATTAAACGATACAAAAAGCGTGGATGTGCGCGCGCAGTAGCTATCGCATTGCTCATCACCCCTGCGCCAACAACTCGCAAGAAATCTTGTAAAATACACAGAGTACAGACGAATGCAGAACAGCCTAGAAAGAACATTCTATAGCCCAATTCAAAATATTATTAAATGCCTACCAATTATTAGTACTGACTGAAAAAAACCACACACACACAGACAGTCATGATACTGGGATTTCAGTTTGCCTTGAGAATCAAGGTCTGCACAGCTAATGACAAGGTTCAGATAATTATAGTTCACAAAAGCACAAACAATTCTAAATAAATAACACGACACTTTATTTAGTATTGTTTAGTGTTCTGTCTGACGACAGGTCCATATGAACAGGATCCTTCCATCCTTTTCTCGGACTGGGACCTGTTCATATACGTTCTTGGCAGATGATCCAGAAGTGGTTTGCCATTGCCTTCTTTTGTGTGTGAATTGAGTAATTGTTGGGATGCCACGGAGAAACCGGGGAAGCCCCCGGAGGAAAACTCCGGGTTGCCTAGACCACGGCCTTGCCCAACACAAGTTATAAATTCGGGCACCGCCGGGAATCTAACCCGAGACCCCAGGATTACAAGGCCAGCGTTCTAACCGCTAGACCACCGTGGCTTCTAACACGATACTTATCAAACATTAATTTTCTTCTTTCTAATTGTTCTTTACGATTTCGAGTAAGCGAAGGACACTTTACGGGCCCGTCAATGTCTGTTGTCTGTCGTGATTCTCCGAACTATGTCCTGGCACACAATAACTCGAGAACGGCTGACCGGATTTTGATGAAACATACGTAATATAGTCGTTATGAGATCAGAGGCTAATCCCAAACAATGCTTCACAATTTCCTACACTCGGTAACACTATCGTGATGGATTCCCAAAATTCAGGAGATGGGACCGTTATGCCTCTATTACCGATGATCCTTTGCGCATGGGCGGTGACGTCAACACGGTTACTTTGGATAACAGTTTCATTTGCTATTTGCTTGACTCCTCAGATGACGGAATCGCCGATGATGACGTCATTGTCATTCACATCAACCTGCACACATGCATTACCTCGAGAATTTTCATAAAATGTGGCATGGAGATTGTGGCACTGCTGTCCGGTCTAAATTCGTACTTTCAAATTCCTCTGAACCGTTGACACCATCATAACGGATTGTCAAACACGTGAGGCGAGAGGATGTTGAAGCCATTATCCATGACAATCGGTGCATGCGTGATGACGTCATCACTCATAATGAAGCCAAATTACTGGAAGATTTGTGTTCCCATAGAGAAGAGACGTCCTTCAGTTGCCCGCGGGCCGTCCGCACAACAGCCCGCTAAAACACAACCCTAAGACAGTTGAATCAATCCCACAAGTTTTATACCATATTTCTTTAAGATACATTTTAACAGACTGTTATCCATCCATTCTGCATGTTTTTGCTATCTCTTCCAAACGAGCTATAAGCCCGTCCAAGACACAAATTATGAGCAATCTTACGAAAGTATTTCCTCCATCGCTTTAGCGTCTTTTTTTTCTAAGACCGTCAACACTTGGACTTCTTTTAAAAAGGAACTTGGGAAACACTGAGTTAAGTGCTTTGAGACTTAAGGTATTTACATACAGTGCGAAAAGAATTATTAAATGAAATGTCCAACGACAATCCGCTTCTTCCTTCAGTAGGTCCATAATTAAAATAAATAACGGGAAACCTATGGCAAAAGATACGGCTTCCTTCTGCCCCATGATCAAAAATATGGCTGCCGATAACATTTAAGTTTGGTAATACGTAGCTGATTGAAAATAAAACTGAAAATTTCCCAACCATCTGGAAACTATTTATATCTCATAAAAGTGAATGTTTGATGGTCGCCAGCGTTATGTATATTGTCACCACTATAATATAATTTCTTTCACAGTAACAATATTGATGCTATTTCCTGATATGTAGGCGGGATGTCATGATTCGAAGACACGGTCTTTTGACACTAATCACGTCGTATTTATCCCACAACGAAATGTTTCATCCCTGAACCACCTAACCCCGGACTGCATAAGACACTTTCTTAATCACCGATGCATATACAGGGTCCACTTGTAGCCCAACGAAACGTTAAAATTACGTAAAAACTCGAAAGAAAAGAAACGACCAGAACATGACACAGAAGACTCAAACGGAAACGCGGGATGGGGCGGGGGGGATTTCTAGCTACACTCAGGTCCTACAACAGCGCGTCTGTTATAGTCTAATCAAAGCACAGGCCTGAATACAACAAGGTCACTGTGTCAATTGAAATTACGTTCACAAGCAGCATTTCAGGGGACACAGGCTGAGAGATACGTATATAGATGGCAGCACTGTCTGTTGGGGGTCAATCTGGACCCCGCTATGTATTCCAGGTTCAAGAACAAGTCCTAGAGTCTGCACCAAAAGTTACAGAATGTTTCGTTTTGTTTTGATCTGCGAACATCTAAAAACAGCTTCAAATAAAGCCCAAATGGAATTTTACGCAGTTCATAACAAACGACTCACTGTATACAAAATGGCTACAAGATTCAAACCGCGCGCCTAAATCTTATTTAATTGAAACATCCATGACCCTGTTGTAGGTCAGTACTTCAGAGAAGAAATAATTTATGCCTCTGTAATGAATTTGCAACGAACTTCCAACTCCAGTGGGCTAGATGCCATTATTTATAATGACTGGCGCCACGATCATTACTGTAAGATGATACTAATTATTGTGAATGGCTACTGACCGCCCTTAACGATGGCTTACCGTTAAAAGGTGGTACGCGCTGCCAGCCGCATTACGACTAAAGTCGGTAGTGACACGACAGATTTCTTAACTGTCTTCAGTCAATTACCACAGATCAGCAGTAAGTCACTCGTTTGTTAGTCATGGCGCCATAATTTCTTTCAGGGCGTCGCGTTCACATTGTACCTAGTTTAGTGCACTTTTACTACGTCATTGTGCTCATGACACGGCAGTTCTGAATTTGTTATGGAATGGTATCCTGGTGACTCTTAGCTCGACTGTGAGCAAAAGATAAACTAAACTGCGAAATACGCCATCTTTGATCATATTTATTTTAATTAATACTGCGGTAAATAATAGTCAAAGTATGCTAAAATATAAATATTTGTAATCCTGGGGTCTCGGGTTCGATTCCCGGCGGTGCCCGAATTTATAACTTGTGTTGGGCAAGGCCGTGGTCTAGGCAACACGGAGTTTTCCTCCGGGGGCTTCCCCGGTTTCTCCGTGGCATCCCAACAATTACTCCAATCACACACAGAAGAAGGCAATGGCAAACCACTTCTGGATCATCTGCCAAGAACGTATATGAACAGGTCCCAGTCCGAGAAAAGGATGGAAGGATCCTGTTCATATGGACCTGTCCTCAGATAGAACACTAAATAAAATAAAAGGTTTGTGACGGTAGTTTGTCCAACATTGGAACATTATGGACCTTGTCCATAATCAATTTATGTATACCAAAGACTTTGTGCATGTCCAACACGATGATCGTACAACACTAAGAAAACATTTATACAAATTATTTATCACCTTTATCTGTTTACGAAATTATTTGTGACAAATTTCAAAAAGTATTCATGTTCTTATGCAAAAAAGTCTTTAGAATGTTTCGGCATAAATAAAGATTTTAATGATTCGACAATTTTTCGCAAAAATTCGTCAATATTAAATGTAATTAAAATCGGGTTATCCGTTCTAGGGTTGATTCATTTAATGTTTGTCAAAACCGCGTCTGTTAAAATGTTGTTTTGCTTTTAATAATCACTGCTTAGTCAGTGGGAAAACAAATGGACTTCTTCATAACCACTCAAAATTTAGTTTCTTGGCCGGTAAATTCTCAGCCACCGCAACTCGCAGGTCCCATAAATGCCTCACTATGCCTGAAATAACACAAGCTAATAACTTATTTACCTCTAAAGTTAAGTAAAAAACCATTCAATGTCGAAAAACAGTCTGCAGTATTCTGTCCTTCAAAACTGTTTTGCGTAAGAAGCACTGGCGTTTTTCAACTGTCGAGATAATTGTGGCATTACCTCCATATGACAGAGTTCATTTGTTTTTCAAAATGTCTGCCACGTAACCTAACCTCTGGAGCCACGAGTCAAGTAACTGTAACTATTAAGCAATGTGCAGTCTAATGAAATGATAAGACAATTAATGTCTGATAAACGTACATTTGGAGAATGACGTACAGAATTTCGAAAACAAGACCAATAAACTAATATGATTACAGGCTGCATACATAAGGAAACATTTTTGCAAAAAGGGAGCCAGAAGAAAACATAGAAACTGAAATGAACGTATAAAAACTGTGCAAAGAACAAGGCGATTATGCAGTATGAAATAACAGACAGTGAATGATGATTTCCCAAAATAGATACTAATTCATTTTTATTCTCGGAGGACTAGTTACAATCAAGGAATCCTGACTGACATCAGATAAAGCAATGGAATCAAACCACACTCCTCCTCGAATGACTTCACTTCTTAAACCTGACAAGGTGTGCACAGTTAAATCACAAATAACAATAGAAAACTGAATGCATCGCTGATGTGATTTATAGCTTGATTGTTCTCTTGCTTGCAATAATGATGCAACTACACACAAGATCACCTTCGACCGACTGCTCCGTCCTTCCGCCATTGTCGAGACGCGATGCAACAACAATTTTAACATCTGCTACTAGATGGGGTATGCTGTACCCAACAGACTGTACAGCACTAATTATCAGCAATCATCTTATTACAGTTTCAGGACGTGATATTTTCACGAGCTGTTTGAGGATGATGTGGTTGAAAGTCGTTTCATGGATTCCTGGTAATGTATTTAATGGGGAGACGAAACGCACGTGGTAGTGTGACTAAAACACCAAGTAGTATTTTGGTACCTACAAAAAATGACGTTACAGTCTCAAAAAAAATAAAAATCACTCGATCGGGATCAATGACACCGTCAAGAGCGACTGTAAACAAGGAACCGATAAATTCCAGTCTATTTAAATGAACGCCACAAAATTAACCCAGACTGCTGCAGTTAAAATACCCCAATAACTACTTGCCAGTCGAACCTGCACAAGTAGGTCGTCTCCATCATGGACGCGTTACAATCCACAAGACGACAAGCAACATCTTCAGGACCGCGAAAACCTCAGTCCCGGGTGCTTACAACGGAGCATCACGTATCTGATGGCGGGATTCAGTTTCTCAAGGCGGCGAGCATAAATGTGTATTATATGAGACACCACGGAGCAAAACCTTGAAGACATTCATCTCCATGTGAACATCTTCTGGTTGCCAATCCGTCACTGCTCACTGTGACAATTTCTTAAAGCCCCTCAGTTGGTTCAGAAATTCTTCGTCTCTTACGAACTCCGAAGATACAACGCCTGTTACCTATACCCTGAACCAGAAGAAACCAAGTGACAAGCTCCCGCACTATTTAACACTTACCTTGGTCCTTCATATGGTCTCTTCCATTCATTCTGTACAAAATTTCGTATCCACTTCTTAACTTTCCCATATCTGCTAATCGCCCCGCCTATTCCAACATTTTAGATTCGATCATCCTAAAAATTTTATGCATATTAAAAATATAAACCTTCTCATGAGATTTTCTCTACATCTCTAACGTTAACACTAATTGTAACCTAACCTAACCTAACCCAACCTACCTTAACCCAACCTAACCTAACCCAACCTAACTTAACCCAACCTACCCTAACCCAACCTAACCTAACCCAACCTAACTTAACCCAACCTACCCTAACCCAACCTAACCTAACCCAACCTAACTTAACCCAACCTACCCTAACCCAACCTAACCTAACCCAACCTAACTTAACCCAACCTACCCTAACCCAACCTAACCTAACCCAACCTAACTTAACCCAACCTACCCTAACCCAACCTAACCTAACCCAACCTAACTTAACCCAACCTACCCTAACCCAACCTAACCTAACCCAACCTAACTTAACCCAACCTACCCTAACCCAACCTAACCTAACCCAACCTAACCTAACCCAACCCAACCCAACCCAACCTTTTCTCAAACAC